ATATCTGACAAGGGACTTATCTCGAGAATTTATAGAAAACTCCAACACCTCAATAACAAAAAGACTAACAATCCAATTAAAAAAGGGCAGAAGACATAAATAGACACTTCACCAAAGAGGATATTCAAGTGACCAACCAACATATGAAGAAATGCTCATGATCATTAGCTATTAGAGAGATGCAAATCAAAACAATAATGAGATACCACTTTGCTCCAGCACTAGTAGCAAAGTTCGAAGAGACTGAAAATAACAAATGCTGGTGAGGATGTGAAGAGATTGGGACTCTGATACACTGCTGGTGGGACTGTAAAATGGTACAACCATTGTGGAAAGCAGTATGGCAATTCCTTCAAAAGTTGGAACTAGAAATCCCATTTGACCCAGCGATTCCGTTACTAGGTATATATGCTAAATAAGTGAGAACCGTGACAAGCACAGACATATGAACACTCATGTTCATCGTAGCACTATTTACAATAGCCAAAAGATGGAAACAACCTAGGTGTCCTTCAACTGAGGAATGAATAAGCAAATTATGGTACATACATACAATGGAATACTATGCAGCCCTAAAGAATAATGTAGAATCTGCAAAACACAACATAACGTGGATGAACTTGGAGGACATTATACAAAAGGACAAATACTGTATTAGTCCGTTATTGTAAAAGTTTATCTATGGAAGGACATTTTCTTTGTTGGTTACCGGGGTGGGAGGGAAGGGGAAGGCAGGAACACTGTTACACAGAGAGAGGTAAGTATTGATTTGGGTGAAGAGAAGGGCAATGTACCAAATGTGAGTGATCAATATAGTGGCATTGAAGAAGACAAAGACAAAGAGAGGTATGTGGGAGGTACAGACAACAAAGATGAAGCCTTTTGCAGAAATAGTTATGGTGTCGTCAGTGAAGGCAAACATGGGTGGGTATACTGGTGGATAGATGGGTGAACTAGTAGGTATGTCTATGAAGCGGGGAGTGTACCCAAGAACATGTATAGGGTTGGCAGACAATGGTCCTGTAAGTTTATGTGTATGATCTGAATTCCCAGGTGTATAGTAAAGCTGACAAGGGGCCAGGTTGTAGTCACTGCTTGGTCTAAGCCAGCTACCCAGAGGAACCAAGTAGTTGAACCTGTGGGCTCGGGACCATAGTCGCAGGGGACATCAAGCTCAATTGGCATAACATACTACACAAAACATTGTTCCACCTCCTACTTTGGCGAGCAGCAACTGGGATCTTAAAAGCTTGCAAGCTGCCATCTAGATACAATGTTGGGTCTCTCCTCATCAAGAGCAAAGAAGAATGAAGAAAACCAAAAATTCATGGAAACACCTAGTCCTATGGACTGGTACACCATCTGATCTGCAGCCTATACGACTATGAGACCAGAAGAACTAGATGGTGCCCAGCTACTACTGTCAACCATTTGGAAGGAGATCTATGTAGGAGATCCTGGATAGAGATGGAGAATAATGTGGGACAAAACTCAAAGTCATTTGGAGGAAAAAAAAAGGGGGATCAGTTTTGCTTGTCTGATAGAGCCTGGTGGAACCACTGACTATGGTCCCTAGCTGACCTTCAGGTCTGGAATTGAACCCACACTTGTGGCTTCTAGCCAAACAATAGACAGGCATATGAGTCGAACATTTACCTGAGGTAGATACACTCCTTTGAGAGAACAATGATGGGAGAAAGAAGGGCTGCTTAATGCACAGGGAGACAGCTCAGGGGGCATGGAGGGATGGAAACAGGGAAGAGATAACTATCAGGAGGAAATATGAGGGAAAATGTTGCATTGTGGTAAATTGTGGTCAATGTCATGAGACAAAGTGTATGTGAACTGCTGTATGGAAAGTGAATTTGCCCTGTAAATTTTCACCCAAATCACAGTTCAAAAAAAAAAAGGAAGAAAAAGAAAAACGTACTCTTTTCCTTTGCCTTCCCAAAACTTTACCTTAAGTTTTTGACTTCCAAATACTCCTCCTTCATCTTCATCAGAATCAACATCTTCAAAAAAATCAATATCTTCCTCCTCATCATCTTCTTGTTTTCCTTCTTTTTCTATGTTTTCTAAAAAGGTCTCCATTTCAGATAGTTTGAAGAATTTATCATCTACTATTGACTTCTCTCTTGGTTTTCTAGGCACTTTGTTTTGTACCTTGTTCTGCTGCTCCAATTTGTTGATATCAAAGTCACGGTCTGAATCCTCGTCACTAAAATCTGGGCTTTTCCTCAGATCAAATTTGTTCAGGTGTTTCATGCTTTCTTGTCCTTCAAGATCATCAACACTCAGATCTGACACTTCTCCCTCCCTCAAGTCTTGTTCTAGGTCCTCCTGCCCATTAGTCTCCATCTCTGAGCCATCTTCTTCACACTCCTGCTCTTCCATCTCTGGGAGAAGACTGATATCCTCATCTTTAATTGTTTTGCTAAGTGCATTCTGGAAGTACCGTAAAATTGGTTCATTTTGCAGTTCCAGTTGTTGCCAAATTTGCTCATCATCAAAATTGTTAATAACCAGTTGTTTCAAAGGACTTCCACGCATACTACCATCCTCTAGTATTTTATGAAAGTCATAAAGTATTTTTGTTAAAGAGATAAAGTTTGATGCCAATGCATCTTGAATCCTAAGGGAGAGAGGAAGGAAGTTAAATGAGATTTAGAATTATAGGCAATATTTTCACAGCATTCTGAATTAATTTTTTTAAAAAAAGGCCGAACTCTTGTGGAAATCTAATTTGAATGGTGTTATTTTATATATAGACTCTGACCTACAAGAACATTTTCCTCTTGAGAGCCACCCTGAAACACAGAAACTATCTACTAAGTATCTGTGAATCTGCTATATAGATTTTCAGCAGGAACACCATCACAGATGTATTTGCCTTGAGATATACAGTGAATTTGAGCCTTAAATTCTCAAATCTGCTACATTATATGTCATTCCTTCTTTCAGTCAGTTAATAGTCAACATTTGCTTTGCCTGGAGTGGTCAGGAAAGAGCTCGCTAAGGTGACATCTGAGGTGGTATCTACAGACGAAGAGACAGCCTTGCAAAGATCTGAAAACATATATTCCAGGAAGAAGAAACAGCAAGAACAAACTTCCTGCGAAAGGAACAACTTGGTGAGCTTGAGAAACATAAAAATCTGGATGGCTGGAATGTGGTGAAGTAAGTAGCAAGTGAGGTTGGAAAGGCAGGTGGGAGTCAAATCATGCAGAGATAACAGTATGCTATTTTAAGTGTAATGAGAGTTATTCAGCAGAGGAATAAAATTGTATGATTTATGCATACAAAAGATAGTCTATGGAGGAAAAATAATGAAGGTAGGATGATTAGGAGGTTGATACAGTGATCCAGGCAAGGGATGATAGTGGCCTGTGTTAGGGTTAAAGCAGTAGAGCTAGTGAGAAATAATGCATGCAAAATACAGTTTGGAGATAAAACCAACAGGATTTGCTAAAGAATTATATGCAGAATTGAGAAAAAGGAAGACATCAAGGGAACAGCCTAGCTGTTTGCTTGAGCAACTGGAAAGATGTTGTTTGTTATTATGTGCCATGGAGTCGGACCCAACTCATAGTGACCCCTCCTTGGGTTTCCGAGGCAGTATCATTACGGAAGTAGATTGCCCCATTTTCCTTCCGAGGAGTGTCTGATGGGTTTGAATTGCCAGCCTTCTGGTTAGCATTCAAGTGTCTTAGCTACTATGCTACCAGAGCTCCTACTGGAAAGACAGAGATGCCAATAATTGAGATAGGGAAGGCCTGGATGGTGAAATGTGGAGAAGGGATTTCAGGTGAGGGAAAGGGTGAACCAAACCAACAGTTCTATTTCAGACATTTGTTGTTGTTATATGCCGTCAAGCAGACCCGACTCACACTGAATTTAAAATGCTCAGAGTAAGTGGAAGTAGTTACTGTGAGTTTGGAGCTCAAGGGAAAAGTATGGTGTCTGAAACATCTGGAAGTCACAATTTCATGGACTGTCTTTGAAATTCTTCAACAAATCACAGCACAGAGAGCTTGTGCTGGAAGAGAGATTAAAGACATTCTGAATCTCAAGAAACTCAGTTGCAAGGTTGGCTAGACAACTGACATACTACCACTTTCAATAAAGAATGATGAGGGTAAGCAATGGGTGCTTTGGAAGGACGGGGGAGGAAAAAACCAACCTAGTGAGCCATGTACGGGGGGTGAGAGGCGTAGACCTCCAGGAAGGTCTTTGTTGTTGTTGTTGTTATGTGCCGTCGAGTCGGCCCCGACTCATAGCGACCCCTCCTTGGGTTTCCAAGGCAGTATCACTATGGAAGTAGGATTGCCCAACCTTCCTTCCGAGGAGTGGCCGGTGGGTTTGAACCGCCAGCCTTCTGGTTAGCAGTCAAGTGCTTTAGCCACTATGCTACCAGAGCTCCTCAGGAAGGTCTCTAGGCGTCAGGAAGGTCTCTAGGCGTCAGTAACTCCGCTTACAACTGGGAGATCTGCATTGTAAAACTTCTAACAAAACTTATAAAATTTTCCTTGTGATTTGGGTGCAATTTTCCAAAGCAGATTCATTTGACATGCAACAGTTCATACAAACTTTGTTCAGCGACACTGATTACAATCCCCAACATATAACAGCTCTGCTTCTACTTCCTCTCCGTGGTTACCCCTTCCCCGTGTCCTTCCTTATGGATTCTTGTCTGCCTCGCTTTCTCCTTGAGCAAATTTCATAGTTTAGGGGAACATAAATTTCACATAAAATTTTGGGAAAGGTGATCCACACTTGTCTTCCTTTCCCTTACTCCAGAATTAGCCTAGGGCTTGCAGCCCGGGCCCACGTGACACCCAAGTTCTGGCTGTGCGCACTTACGTGAGGAAGCACTCTGGCCGTTCCGCCGCTTTACTGACTACTGTCAGACATCGCTTCAGAGTCCTTCGACGCCACGTCTGCGGCGCCATCGCTGTCACAAGCTCCCGATACTGCACCGCATGTAAGGGAAGACAGCCGCCGGAAACAGTGCTTCAAAAACATTCGTGTGGAAGCTAAAACCCAGAGAGAAGTGGTTCCGACTCTCACAAGTTCCGGACACACCCCTCAGCCAGAGCCAATTGCAGCGCTAGAATTTTCTCGCGGCTGGCGTAAAGAGGCGGAGCGGGAAACCGAAAATAGCAACTGGTCAGCCAGTATCTTTGTCTTCTGAAGGTTCGCCACACCCACTAAACACGTCTGCCCCGCCCACGGCCTTTTGCCTGGCCCTTGGAGATCATCACGTGTTCTTACCCAGGTTGTTGCACCCATGGCTGGTGTTTCGGCCTAAGAGGCTGTGTGAACTTTTCAAGATTCGGGGATCCCGAGATGGCGCACATACAGAAGGCAATGGCGGCTGCGTACGTCGTAGGTGAATATTAGGTGGCGCAGGGCGTGGCGGGGCGAAGCGGGGCGGGGGGCGAAAGTGGACCGAAGAAGCCGCGAGATTAAAGCCCTTATTTAATGCACTATCGCTCCAGAATTGCATTCCGCGGCTGCTGTTTGCACCTCCAGGCATAAGGTAACCTTCCACTAAAGTCTCAGATTGCCCTGGGTATTTCCGTATTGTATTAAAGTCTCACAGCACCTGGGAGGTGGACACCGTTGATGTTGCCTCATTTGGTACGTAGGCCCAGATAGGCGAGGGCACTGGTCCAGGCGGTTAGGTAAGGGAAGGACAGGGGTAAATGCAAGAGGACGGTGAGTATTATTTACTGCACATAGGAAAAGACTAAAAGAAACCAAACGATGGCCAAGTTCTGAAAGAAAAATTAACGCTGACCTACTAGCTTGTCCGGTGCCATACTGGGAATATAAAAGGTTGTTGTAGGTCGAGTTCCAAAATAATGACTAGAAAGTTAGCTGTAGCACAGAGAGAAATTTTTAATAAGAGTATAGTAATATTAGGAGCTCTGGTAGCATAGTGGCTCAGGCATTTGACTGCTAACCAGAAGGCTGGCGGTTCAAACCCACCAGCCACTCCTCGGAAGGAAGATGGGGCAATCTACTTCCGTAGTGATACTGCCTCGGAAACCCAAGGAAGGGTGGCTATGAGTCGGGGCGACTCGACGGCACATAACAACAACATAGTAACATTGCAAGGTGGAGGCACACGGGGCAAGAGGCATCGAACACCATGTGTGTCTTCCTGATCCTTACAGGCTAGGGATTTTTATAATAGTTTTAAGGCCGTGGTACATGATTTCAAAAGACATTACACAGGCAGGTTACTGGTAAGATCCTAACCCTTTTGCAAAAGTCAGGAAAGGGAACAAGGCCGTGATAAATGTCTTTCGATAGACCTCAGCTTCCGTCAGGCTAGGTGCATGTGCAGTCTCTTTCTAAGTAATAGAGTCTGTGTGTTTGAATATGAATGCCAGGAGCTCTTCTGCACAGTATTCTGCTGTTTGCTTGATTGCAGTCTTGGTCTCATCTTACACTGGCCTTCTTAGTTCATCAGGCTGTAAAAGAGAGCAGGAATGCACAGGCTACAAAACGCTGACCACAAGGGTAGTAGGCTAGAAGACATCTCAAAAATGTCCTATTGTGAGGAAATGCCATTTAAGTAGTAAATTTGCATTTGCATTTCTTTTGCAGTCTCCCTTCCTTAGTCTAGGGATCTGAGTAATGTGGTTGCCCTGTCCTGTGAGCTGTTCCTTTCTTAGTTTTATGATCTTAGGAATGCAGGGGTAGAATTCTTGTTATTACAGCTACAGTAGTAGCATAAAAACCAGAAACCAAACTCACTGCTTGGGGCAATTCAACTCATAGTGACCCCTCCTGGGTTTCTGAGGTGGTGTCTCTAGGGAAATAGATTGTCCAGTCTTCCTTTCAAGGAATGATTGGTGGGTTTGAACTGCCAGCCTTCTGGTTAAGCAGTCAAATACCTTAGGCACTACACCACTAGAGCTCCTGATAGATACTGTTGTTGTTATGTGCCATCGAGTTGGACCCATCTCATAGCGACCCCTCCTTGGGTTTCCAAGGCGGTATCACTACGGAAGTAGATTGCCCAACCTTCTTCCAGGACAGATTTGTTAGACCTTTTAGCAGAGCATAATACTCTTAGCATTCTTCTCCAACACCACGATTTAAAAGCATCAACTCTTCTTCGGTGTTCCTTATTCATTGTTCTACTCTCACATGCATGAGAGGCGATTGAAAATACCATGGCTTGGGTTGTTGTTGTTGTTGTTATGTGCCGTCGAGTCAGCCCTGACTCATAGCGACCCCTCCTTGGGTTTCCGAGGCAGTATCACTAC